ACTTCCACTCCTTCCCGTCCGCCATATTGTCTTTATAAAGTGTAATTGAAGGACGAGTTGACATAATCTGAAAAATAATAATAATTTCTTGCATGTAAATCCCATATGAATACTTTCAATGTTTAATTGTTTTCATTACACGCGCGCGTTTTTACGTACCCTTCGCAGCGTAGCCAACTTTGGAAAAACGAAAAAAAAAAAAAATTTTTCCACCGCGGGGGTTTACATTTCACATCATTATTATTTTTATTAAGTGATTTAATAGGAAATTTTTTTCTTACACGAACGTCATGAAACAATTTAAAATGATAATAATAATAATAATGATGATATTGAAAGAATGAGTCGATTTTCTATAATCTGAATAAAAATATATTTAAAAATAAAACAAAGTACTGTTGATAAATTCGAACCTGCAACGAACGAAATCGCATCGGAAAAACCGTTAAAATTTGAAAATTTATCGAATACTCCCTAAATATTAAATAATCGTTAATTATTTTCGTATATTTTGTTAAATAGTTGTATAAAAAAACAACATGGAATTAAAAATGGTCACGATATACATTTATAACATTTTCTTACTCTATGACTCATCATCCATTTAATTACCTTTACGTAATAACACATGCATCTTTTTTTTTCTTTATAAAACCTCAAAATTAAGGTTCGAAACATTAAAAATTTTAATTTTTTATTCAAGGTTCGATGATTTTATTTGGACTCCGCACCCAAACCTTGTTTTTTACGTTCCAATTCAAAGGATTTCCTGACCTTAATGTTTTCTTATACTCACAAACTACTATTTGTAGTTAAATTTCGTTTTCAACGGTTTTCATTTTGTTTAATAATTAGTAAAAAAAAAAAAACTTCATTACTCGTTAAACGATTTGGAAAATTTTAATAAAATAAAAAAATTATTTATTTATTTATTATTAGGTAATAAATTAACCTGCGCGGGAGTACAGGTGAATTTAAAAACAAGTTTTTCCTCCATTAATTAATTACGTAATACAAAAGGATAATAAAAAATAAAATTAAAAACTACAATAAAAATTTATTCATGATAAATCGAACACAAACTAAATAATAATAATAATAATAATAATAATAATAATGATAATGATAAGAAATACATTTTTTTTTTTTATTAAAGAGTACAATGACGAAGCATTTTAAAAAAAAAAAAAAAAAAAAAAACATTTAATAAATGAGTGATAAATTTATTTATTACGAACAACACGCAAATATTTAGGCGAACGAGTGCAAATAATTAAACCGAAATAAATTTTTTTTTTTTTTCCCGCAATACTAATATAAACAACCAAACAAACAAACAACCGTACAAACAATTATTTATTCAACAAACAACAAGAGATTTAAATTATTTTATACAAATTTTCTTTTCCTGTTTTCTTTTCGATGATGGTTACACGTTTGAAAATTCATGTTATGGCGATTTTATAATAATAATAATAATAATAATAATAAATTTATATTTACACCATTTTAAAAAACCGTTAAACGTTCGATAAATTCCGTTAAAAATTTAAAAAAAAACGGTTATAATTATTACGTTAGATACAAACAAAGAAGGGAAAAAAATTAATAATAATTTCATTTATTTATTGATTCCACATTATTTATTTATTTATTTATGTAAAACAATTAATCGTTGGACTATTATTATTATTATTATCGTGTCATGAAGAAAATTTAAAAGTAAAACTAAAACATTTTGAAATTAAATTTAAAAAAAAAAACATTTTTGATTACTTTCTACCATTGTTTACATAGAATAAAACAACCACTACCAAGCGTTATATTTTTTTTTAATTACTTGCACGCGTGGTTACGCACGTGCAAAAATAGTTAATGACCT